AATGAGACAGAGAAATGTTTTACATGGACAGACGAGGTTCATGTCATGTATGGTACATTTTGGGGTGATGGTGGTGGCTGGAGGATAGTGTGTTTCCCCAGTCAGTCCCTGCATGGAGGGGCTCCTCTTTAGGACACAGTTGCTCTCCATGAGACCCTTTGCTCCCCTGGGTTGCTCAGTGTATGTGTGCATCAGGACCCATTGGTCTTCTCCCTTTGAATTATTAACCTACAGCCTGCTCCTGGCCCCAGGAAGGATTTGTTGACCACTCAGCCTGCTGGCCAAGGTACAGGCCTTTCAAACTTCCCTAGAATTGACTTTCCTTGAACAAAAAGGGCTTCCCTGGAGCTCTGTTGGTACCTACGTGATGGGCTTGGCTGCCTAATACCCTGGGATTAGCAGAGGGACACTCTAAACCTCTGGCCAATGGCAGATGTTTCCCACAGGGGACCCTTCAAGGACACCCGCTCCAGTGCTGTTAGCTTTGTGATCAACTGGATAAGGACTGGGATCCTTCCCCTGTGCTGCCCCTTGAGAAGGATGGGCTGAGCCTCAATGGGGATGGGAAGGGGGAGAGGAGTCCTGGTGCCCAGCCAGCACCACCACTGCCTTGCTGTCCTCTGTGCCACGGTGTGAGGGTGATGCTCTACAGGGGCAGTTTCCAGCCCACACGTGCTGGCCAGCCCACATGCCACCCCAGCACTCCTGGTCCTCCCACTGGTCTTTGCCCGGGCGTGGGAGCCCGGCTGGCAGCGCTGGGCTGGGCGCTCGTAAAACCAGGGGAGCAACTGAAGGAATCTGCCAGTTGCCAAAATAAAGGAGTGAATCACTACAGGGCTGGGAAATGCTTGCCCCAACGCCCAGCCTCAGGCTGCTGCCCCTGGCGTTGAACATCTCCTGTCGTGTTGTTCCATGGCTGAGAACACAAGGCTGTGATTGGGAACCACCAGCTTGCTGCCACCACTGGCACCCTGCTCTGCATCCCCTTGGGGTCTGCACCTCCTGGGAGGAAGATGAGGCTTGCAGAAGGGGTGCCTCCACCCCATGTGTGTGGGTGTGGATGCAGAGCTGGTCCCATCCTGCTGTGCTGGCAGTGTGGAGCCCAGCCAGGACCAGCCTGTACTCTTGAATGCTGGTCTGTGCTCTCCTGATCCAGTTCTTCCCTGTGTGTTTCTGCCCCTTCCCAGCAGCCAGGCTGCCCTGTGTGGCTGTGCCATGTGCTGAGCCCTCTTGGCTCTGCCAGTCCCATAACCCCTGGGCAAGCTACCCCTGGCCACATATGCTCACTTACAGCAAAGCTCTGTGCTTCCCAAAAAAACCCACAGCTTTGGCACCAGCAAGGAACCCCCAGGTCAGGCCAGAGTCAGGGAAACAGCCATGCAAGGAGCTACCCTTGCTCCAGACAGGAGGGTGACTGGGCTCCTCAGAGGAGCCCTCCATGCCTGTGGGCACAGATGAGTCCTGCCTTCAGCCCAGCAGCTGGGAAATGCTCATTTCTCCAACCTGG